ACCTTTTCTTCTCTTTGATTTCTCTCCAGCCAGGGATTACCAGTACTTGGCATTTAGAAAGATTGGATCATTAATGTGTGTGTGTGTGTGTGTGTGTGTGTGTGTGTGTGTGTGTGTGTGTGTGCGTGTGCGTGTGTGTGTGTGTGTTTGTCTGGGGGAGCTCACAAGTTTATTGACGTCTAAGTCATTAAATTTTGTATGATTTTTTTGTACTTTAGTCACTTTTGTAACAATTTGATTGTCAATTTTTTATATTTTGAGTACTTGAAGTTTTTAATAACATTATTGAATTTAATATTATTAAATATTATTTGCCAAATTGATGTAAGATTGTTTGTGTTGTATATTTTAATAGTAAATTAATATGTAAATTTAACTTGGTATTCGCATAGAAAGCATATTAAAATCTTAAATGTTTAAAATGTAACCTTTTTGAGAATAAAATGTCAAATTATGGGTGAAACAATGTTCATAAATCTTTGTTTAGCTTTGTTAATATATATTTGAAAAATGAAAGAATGTACTAGTACTTATATAAAATATTATAAGCAAATGATTACTATTATATTTTAAATTAAATTAAACACTTCTTGTTGACGAATAGGTAAAATGTGGTGATTTAAGGATTGTGGAAAAGCATATTAATATTTTGAGATCCCTAAATGGCCTTTTAATATGTCATCAAATGTGAGTTATAATAAGTAAAAAATATGATGTGACTTGGTACATTGACATTTTGGTGAAAATGATGATAAAATATATAATATGTTTGTCTGGGAGAGTGCACAAGTTTATTGACATCTAATTAATTGAGATTGGTACAATTTTTTTTTTTTTTGTAGCACTTTTGTACTTCAGTCACTTTTGTAACATTTTGATTGTCAATTTTTTATATTTTGAATACTTAAAGGTCTTAATAACATTATTAAATTAAAATAATTTTCTATCTAAAATATTATAAACAAATTATTACTATTATATTTTAAATTCAATTAAATACTTGTTGACGAATATGACGAAAAATGTGGTGGTTTAAGGGTAGTGGAAAAGCATATTAATATTTTGAGGTCCTTATATTGCCTTTAATGTGTCATCAAATGTGAGCTATATTAAGTAAAAAATATGCAATTTTTGGTACATTGCCTTTTTATTGGAAATCATAATAAAAATATATGATATTGATTTTTCAAAAAGTTAAACCGAGTAAATGCATTCTATTTCCAAAAGCACTCTTCGTCTTTGACCTGTGTATGTAGTCTAGGTTTCGTCAGTAAGGGGGCAGCAGTAACCAAACCTCTTTCAGTTTTTATCTCAAATGCTGTTCTTTATCTCTATATATTTTGTGCAGTCCGTCTATTAAGCAGGATGTTATTTTGACACCGTGGAACTGTTTGTTCTGTGGGTAATGTAAAATATTTATCTAAAATGACAACCACACCGGAGAGTATATGAAAGAAAACCTTTTTAAATGAAAAGCGCTGTTACATGCAGTCCTTAAGAATATAATCCTGGCAGCTGAAATGTCTTTATCCTTGAGATCTTCCCGCATTTTCTGATATAATGTCAACATTTTCTTCTTTTTTCCTCCCCCTCTTTTTCTCCACAATGGATGTGTGTTCCCTGATGCTAAAAACTCTATTGTGACATTTAAAATGAAATGTCAGCGGAACTGGATTTAATAGGACTGAGTCTTTTTCTTCGCTGTTTAATCAAACCTCATTGTTCCTTACGGGCAGCGGTTTGGGCAAGACAGAACAAATGTCAGCTGTTACCGAACATCTTCAAACTCTCTTTACTTTCGCTCGGAAACCAGCGATAAATAAACTTGTTATTCGGTGGATTTGTTTGTTTGTCTGTTTTTGTGTACTTTTCCCCCTCATTTAGTAAGGTAATGTTGGCTTTAATTTGCAGACCCCTGACTGCTTAGAGGAGGAATTCGTAGCTCATGAATAGGTAATGACACTTGTGTTCCTGAATATTGCAGCCGTATGGGGCTTTCACCTCTTAAGTCAATTATTATTCACAGGAGTTACAGAACAAAACCCTCACCCAACCAAACCAACCATCTCTAATAAATAAAAAAAACACTCACACCACTTTAATGTATTGTAACAACATTTGCCATTTTCTCTAAGAGTGTTCAAATCTCCACCTTGCAATAAAGCTAAATCTGTTTTGAAGTCAGATAACATTGAATAGCTTCTCTTTGGGTGTTTGTCAAGATGGGATGAAGTCTGGCTGAAGTACAGAGCGGTATAGGTGTATTGACAGTAGGGCAGTGCTCATAAAAAAGAGCCAATGAAGTAAAGTGGTGAAATATCAGATTCTCGCAGTGGGCTGATTTGTTATAGCAGCTAAATGCTTCTGCTTGGCCCTCGGCGATGGCGTTACTTTCTACTTTCTCTTGGGCTGCGGTGCCATTTGACCCTAAACGGTTCATTACAGCCAAGAGCCGGTGTTTACGGCAGCCTGTCGGTCAGGCCTGGGCGGCCAAATCCCTGTAGCCCTCTGGTCAAACACAGATATTACACTCTGTAATAACATTGGCCAACCCAGCTGACCCTTGCTCGCTTCAATAAGAAAAACGCACAGCCCAGTGTGTGGGCTTGTGGATGTTTAATGTGTGTGTGTGTGTGCGCGTGTGTGCGATGGTGGCGCCTCCGACTTCAACTGACCGAAGTGTTGTTGTCAATATCTGAATTTGTTTCCCTTTATTGAGTTTGTGACTATCCATAATGGTGGGGAAACTGACTTCAGTCATGGTTCTGTACATAACTGTTATTGGAACATTAAAAAAAACCTTTCTGTCTGTCTGGAGAGCTTTAATATCATTCTCATAAAAAAATCCTCTAGAATTCAGTGGTACTTCAGGACACGTATTGTACATTTGGGCATCATAAGTAAAATATGATGCTAGACATATACCAACATTTTATTAATAATTAATCCATCAATATATTAAAATTATGGGGAACGGGTTAGCGCTGTCGCCTCACAGCAAGAAGCTTGCTGGTTCGAGTCCAGGCTGGGTCAGTTGACATTTCTGTGTGGAGTTTGCATGTTCTCCCATTGGTTTGCCCCACAGTCCAAAGGCATGTGGTATAGGTGAATTGGGTTAGCTAAATCGTGTGTGAACCTTTGATTTGGAATAGGAAGAATTATGAGGATGTTTTAGAGATAGTCAATTAAAATTTAATGTCACCCTTTTGTTTGTTTGTTAAAAGCTAACTGAATGTTTCAATTAAGTGATGTAAATTAATCAGATGTTGTTTAAATCTACATTCTGTCACCCGACAATGCAAAGACTTTGGTCAGCAAATCAAGTTGAAGGCAGATTCTGCTTGACTAGTGAATTCAGCATTGTATTCCACTGCGTTATAAATGTGATTGGTTATGTTTCTATTGCAATAAGTTATCATTTAAAAGATATGCTGCACTATTTAATACCATTTAAATTAATGTTTTGTAGGGAGGCTCCAATCGATGTGCCAGAAATCGGTGTCGGCCGATAATCACATTTCATGACTCGATCGGTACTCTCTAATCTGCCTGATCTTATGAACCGATCGCATTTGTTTGTTTACGAGTTTACAAACAGAGGACTTATAAGAACTGAAATCTTGACTGTAAATATATTTAATAATATAATTAAATATATAATAATATAATATAATTAATAAATATTTAATAATATAACTTATTGTAATAAACAGTAGTTTATGGACCTATTTCCGTTTAGCACAAAAGTAATGGATTTATACGTGTGCATTTTAACTTCTTATGCATTAAATATGCACTCCAAACTTCCTTGAGACCTGTTGAATTCTTCTTCCATCATTTGCAATGTTTCCAAATTGCTTTGTTAGTCATTTTTCTTGCCAATTGTTTGTATCTGTTTTCTCAATTATTTTCTGTAAAGCTGCTTCTGACACACAGTGTACTCGGTATCGCCTGCAAAAATCAGAGCATCCTTAATGTTTTTCTATTTATTTTTATATAGTTTGAAACAAATTAACCGTGGCAACTTTAATGTGATATAGTTACGTACATTTACCTTCGGCCCAATGCTCTCAGTGTTATTTGTTTTTTTACCCTTCATATGAAAAAGTTTGGGCACCCCTGGTATAGAATCTATAGAAGTTGTAATCAAACTTCAAACTAATCTTAAAAAAAAAATCAATCATTAGAAGTTATTTTTATTGCTATTTTATGAATGTATTGTGTTTTATCCAAGCTGTGTGTTGTCTTTTGTCAGACACATATCCTGACATATGTTCAGAACAGGTATTATCGTAGTCATAAATTTCCACATTATGATTGTGTCCTCTAAAGAGTTCTTAACCCTATCTCTTTCAACCCTGCTTTGTCTTTTGTTTTGACAAGCATCTCGCGTCTATCGTTTCTGCCTCCGTGGGCACGAGTCCTCAGTCTGGCAGAGGATACATGTCCACTCAGTGCGCTGGCGGTGGGATTTGGCCATGCGCTAGGAGGGCTTTCCAATACAATGGCTAGTTTTCTCTGCCTCTGTATCTAGCGCCGCGGGGTAGTGCATTCTCTGAGGATAATGCACTAGAATCTGCGGCCCGTCCAGCCTTTGGCGACACTCACTTTGATCACCCTCGTCCTCCGCACATCAACCTGGCGTTGGGCTTTAAACCAACAGCATCCTCGGAGCAGGGGCCAGCATCAACTGTTTAAATGCACGCAATGTTATTAAGTGCAGTTACACAGGATGAATGGCAGAAGGGAAATACTGTCCATTTTTCAAGCGAAGGCTTGTTGGCATTGGGCATTAGGACAGGCATCTGTGGAATTTCGAGAACACAGAGCTCTTTTCCGCTACTTTTCCACCATTTTTCCATTCCAGTCACTTAGTGATAATAGCAGTTACAAAGTGTTTTTTGCAAGTTTTGTTTGCTAGTATTTTCAGAAATGTGTACATGGAATAACACTGCAATTATGTACTTGCTATCTGATGTTTTGCTCTGTTTGTATCCCAGGTGAAAAGGAACATTTCAGACCTGACAAACATCCCTGTGCGGCATCAGCAGTGGGACGGCTGGCCTGCTTCTGCCACAGATGACTCGGTAAGATCATTTTTTCCTATGATGATTGTGCACCTTTCCATTTCTCAAATTGAATTAAAAAGGGCTAACTTTGAATAACTAAGTAGATAAGATGCTAAGAATTAAGAATAAGTGAAGAATAATTTGCAAACAATATATGAGATTTGCTTGATCTTGCTTTAGAGCTGGGCGATATGGCAAAAAAAAAGACTTTTTTTCATATCAGTCGATGTCGATAATTATCACAATAAAAGTCAAATTGTTATATGTATCAATTTTAAAGGATTTTCAGCATGCCAATCCCTTTGTGCAGCTCATTTAACACATTTTGTGTAATGTTTCAGCTGTCTGACGATATAAATAAAAAAATAAACATTATATTCAAGATTAACTGTTCAAGTTTTCAACAGCAAAGACATTACCCTACAAGTTATTGTATATTATTTGATCATCATCAAAAAAAATATAAAACAGGTTTGGAACAAATAAAAGGTTAATGGTGGCAGAATTTTCAGTTTTGGATGATGTATTGATTGTCACTAACCCTTTTATCGATAGACCTTTTTGATGACTGATTAGGCATGGACATTTAAAGGATATTTGGGCATTTAAAGTTATGCTTTAAAGGATGCTGATGCTTGTAGATGTTCCACTTTTACCAACACTTGTTTGGATCTGTAATTTCTAGCATCTTTATAAGGGTGGCATTATTTTAAATGATGAAACAGGTTTGTGGTGTTGCCTTTTTTTGATGGCACGAGTCATCTGCGCAGTTTGCGGTTCGTTGCTCTGTTTTGTGTTGAATTTCAAAAAACGACGTAGCTCCAGACTACTAAAGTTAAGTATGTCTTGTCAACAATGTCTGTGACTGAACTTCTTACTCCTCCAAGTGCATCTAACACTGTATGGCTGTAATATTGTACTATGTGCGGAATCCGGAAGTGCAGTCTGCAAATGCCTTCGCAGCAGTACGCATAGTGCATAATCATTATCGGACACTTAACGAACTGTCATCATTTTATTGAAAAATATATTTTGTGATAATTATCATTATCGAATTATTGCCCAGACCTATATTGCATCCCATTGACCTTGCCACACTAAATTCTCATTCGGCCAAGAATCCTGCACTGCAAATCTATTTCTACTATTAACTTCAACTTCAAGTAGGATCTACTCGGCTAAAATTTTTGCTCCATTCTATTTTTTTAACAGTATAAAATGAGAAATTACTTGCCAAAAACGGTCCCTTTGTGAACATGCAATTTGTTTAAAGGGCATTGGGAAATTAAATAGAAACATAACTTTAACTTTTTTGTTGTAGTGCTTGAAGCTTCACCTGATGTGAAAGTAAGATGTTAGCGCTAATTAAGACGTCACAGAGCAACTCCTCTCTCTTGTCCTCTCTGTGTGGACATTACAGCTCATGTAGTGGGGGGTCAGTGACCTTTCCCGCCCTGTTCCGTGCTCCCAGCCTTTCAGTACGACTCGTTCACAGTGATCAGAGACGGCCCTAACACTGAACCTTGAGGAACCCCACCTCCGAGCTTAGCTAGTCATTCACACAATAACCATGGGAACTATTTCTTTACTTTTCACTGGTCATTGTGCATCTGAGCAGTTTCCCTTGTGTTTCAACCACGATAAAACAGGACTGTGCTTGTTATTGTGTCTTGATTTGCTTTCAGGTGCCTAATTGAGGGTAAGTATGGTTGCAAAGGGAGTGGCCTTTAACCGATGAGCAAACCTGTTTTATGAGCACTGTTTGTTTCAGGTGTTGAGAGTTTCTATTTTACCTACCATTCTTGGTCATCCATTCATTTGTCATCTTTTAAAAGAGTAAAATGTATATAGCCACTATTATTTATTCTTTCCTCAAGCAATTAAGGTGGTTTTACTCACCATTGTTTAAAAAACCAAATATAACATAAACCCCTGTGACTACTATATCAGAACAGAACAAAAGGCTATGGCCCCATTGTCAGAAGCTTTATAAGCAGTGTTTCACATAGCTTTTAACAATGACAGCATTGTTTATTTTCAGCGTGCACTTGTAAGGCTCATGTATCATTGCGTTTAACTCGTATTGTTAAAAGGGCGGTTGAAGAGATCGTTTCGTCCTTTAGCGAAAAGCACAACAGACGCAAGGTCACTGAATTACACCCTCTCACCACAGACTGCCCACTTGAGTCAGGCCACTTCAGGGCTGAAGTGCACTCACTGAAGACCTCAACCCACAATCTTGTTCTCTGATGAAGAGGGCACTGCTCATGAATACATTTTAAGGCACAATAAAGCAGTGATTGGTTATGTGTGGTCGTTGTGCACTTGGTCGCTTTCCACCTCAACTCATCTTGGCTTATAGGGAGGGACGTAATATTAAAGCAGTGGTCTTAATAATGCCCCCCCGTTCCTTATTGAAATGGCTGGCTGTTCTTTAGGTGCAAAGCTCTTGCATGGCTTTTTTTTTTTTTTTTGGTGCGTATCTCATTAACCTTCCTTCATCTCCTGGGATTTGTACCAATAAACATGACAGCCTAGGCTTAGAAATACATTTACCAGCAGTCTGAGTCAATGCCTGCTCCGCCGTGCTTTCATTATCCTTCGCTTGCTCATATACAGAGCTCCTTTCCACCTCATAAGGAAGAAAAATGGAGAACTGATCAGTAGTCAGTTTACATTTCAGAGACTGAGCTTTTAAGCATATTGGTTTTGAAGGAGGTTTGTTTTTTTCATGTACTGTCGAAATAGATTGAACTTAATATATTAATAATTTCGAGAGGGAAGGCAGTCTTCGGTGCTGCACATATTTTTGTATTACTGTCAGGGAGGCAAATGAAGAGAATGTGATTTGATTTTGATCCATTTATGCAGTGAAACTGTTTAACCAGTTAACATTTAAACAGTGCTGCCGTTTTTAACTGGATTTGTGATTAGCAAATTTGTCTCTGAGGAGAATGGGATTACTATGTAAAAAAAAAAAAAAAAAAAATCAGCATGCCTTTGAATCTGTGGGTGGATCTTAGCGGTTGTCTTGACGTCCCTCTGCAGTGTCTGTAAATTCAAGCGAGGCTGTTTACCATAGTCATGTTTAGCCCTTGTTTGTTTGAGTGGGTGTAGTCGGGATGCGTGTGGTGTGTTTGAGGGGCTGACACTGGCTTCTTCATATGGCAGGCCACTGGAGGACTGCTGTTTGCAGGCTGTGTTTGGCATTAACCACCCAAACTTCGGTGTGTTTTTCTTCCCGAACTTGGGCTGCACCATTTTATTTTTTTGTTAAATCCTGCTGAAATGTTCACTAGATATCTGAAGGCGTTTGCAAAGTAAATAATACCAGTTTATGGCATATCAATGAAGTAAAAACAATTAATTGGCACCGCATTGCTCCCTCGCCGCTATCATCAAAACGGCTCCAGCTCTAAATTGTAGCACATGCTCTTGTTTATTTCATTTGTTCACTTAATTTAGGGCCCTTAATTGGTCCATTTCCCACCTTTTGAGTTCCCTCTCACACACATCCCGAGCCAAAACTCTTTCGAGCTCTTTTCATATTTCACTGCCAACCTCATGCAGCACCTATGGGAATGATTGACAACTCTTGGAACGTCCTTATTAGAGTCTTTTCCCCCTTAATTGCTGACATTTATCCAGTGTTTCTTGGTGTTTGCTAATGTATTACTGCTGCTGCTCTCTGAGGGTCTCTGTGGCCCTCGGCTGTTATGGGCTTTCAGCGTCACGGACCTGCGGAGGCAGCTTATTGGGCCCCCTGGTTGCCATAGCAACGGAGCTCATCTCTAAGCCCATACAGAGCCCCTTGTGAGATTGCTGTCTGCAGGTGAAGTTTTTCTGAGATGGAGAGGTGTATATACACTCTTAGATTGACAGTCTTCTGCCTTCAGAAGCGCTAGCTTGCCGTCTATCTACTCTTCCTGTGCCTTACCAGGGCCGTCTGGCACATAGCATTATTTACATGTTTAGATCAACACCCTGCTGTGACCGTACTGGCAGTGCTGTTTGGTCGTGCAAGAGAAATCGGATATTTGATTTAGCAAATAATTTCCTTTTCAAATAATGTCTTTAAATTAGGGATGCTCATAATAACCGATTAACCAATAACTGAATGGGTGCGTTTTGAACCGATTGATGGTATCAGTTAAATGATTAAAAAATATTATTATGTATATTTTTAAAGTTTGGCTGCATCAGGTCGATCACAGCGAACATGCTTTTTGCATTGAGAGGGGCATCTTTCGAATGGTTTACTAACAGCCATGTTTGTTTTGCGGCGCCCTGCACGCCTCACGTTTTTGCCGTTGTATGGTGTGTGCTCGCAGTTGAAATAAAGTAAACTATAAGCAGAAAAAGCGTACGTCAGTTCTTCAAATGAAAGCAGGAAGAAAAAAAGGACATGATTGGACAAACAGCAAATGCCAGTTTTTAAAAAGGATTCAGTCAGTGTTTTCATTTTGTAATCTAAACTTGTCAGTAAGATGAACAATATCTAGGGCAGAACTGTTTATTTTATTCTTTTTATTTCGTTTTTTATGTTTTTCTATGCTGTTCTGAATGCTGTAGTTCACATGATAAAATAAATCAGTATTTTAAAATGCAATATTTAATGTGTCAGAGACAAAAAAGACACGTAAATTATTTATTTTGTTAAATAATAATTTAATATTAATCTGACCAGTTAACCGTTAATATTCGGTTAACGAGTGGTGGTTGTCGGTTGGCAGAATTAACCGAAATGAGCATCCCTACTTCTCTTTCATTATAGGTAACGGATTAAAAAATTAATATTACTATAAAAGTAGTATTACAATAATAATATTAATTATTATATATTATAATATATATAAAAAAAAAATTAATAGAAAATATGACGGCACGGTGGCATAATGGGTGTCCCGCTGTTGCCCTATAGCAAGAAGGTCGCTGGTTCAAGCCCAGGCTGGGTCAGTTGGCATTTCTACATGGAGTTTGCATGTTCTTTCCATGTTTCCTTGGGCTTCCTCTGGGTG